GACAGCCCTGAAACCTGACATTAGATGAGCCAGAGTTAATCAAAGTTAATGAACTCTGGTGGGCACGAGGGCAGGGTTGGTCATTCCTGGGCTGGTTTTATTTTTGCTGGTTTTATTTTTGCTGGTTTTATTTTTGCTGGGTTTTTTTCCTTCGAAATGCTAAGGACCCTTCCAAAGGTCACTGTCCTGTGTCACTGTCCCAGAGCCACAAAATCCCTCCAGCAGCTTTTTGTGCATTAAAGCAGCTGCTTGCAGACAGCGACCAAGTGACAAACAGCTCAGCCCACAGATGTGGAGCTTCCAAACAGGCTGGGAGCCGGCGGCAGCAGGGGAAAATCCACAGCTGGGATGAATCAGGACAGACTTTTCCAACTGACGCATCCTGGGGACAAACCTCAGCCCCTGTGCCAGTGCTCAGCCCCTCACAGAGCCCGGGAGAGGCTCCTGGGGTGCTGGAGCAGTGTGGATCGAGGAGGGAAAACAGGATGGAGGAAAGATGGACCCAGTGGGACAGGCAGAGCAATAAATAATGGGTCTGTTAAAAGCAGGGCTGGGCTCAGGTGTGGGCAGGGGGACAGTCAGGGACAGGTGGGGACAGTGATGGAAGGGAGCTGCCGCTGGCAGAGCTTTAGGCTGCTTGATCATTTTTAGTCCTGGCAGCTCCAGGTCTTTGAGAGGATGAAGATGGGGATGAAGGTGGGAGGATGACAGCTGAGAACTGGTGGCAGGGCTGGAAAAGGAGGGAGGCTTGGGGAGGAGGAGGAGGAGAAGGGTGAGCAGTTGCCTGTCCCTGGGAGTCCTTCTGTCCACATGAAGATGCTGGGGGGACAAAGCCACCAGTGGTGTCCACCTGGCCCTTGTCCCCAGCTGAGCCTGTCTGGGGAGGCAGATGCAGTGAAACAAGGGGTGGCAGGATGAGTTTTCTCTGGGATCTGCACCCCACTCCCTGGGGAGGGACTCCCACAGCATCCCTGCAGGGTGGGAACATCCAGGGATGGGGCCAAAAATGCCTGGTGGGACTCAGAGGCACAAAAGCTGCCCAGGTCTGTGAGGGTGGGATTGCTGTACCTGGGGAAGAGATTTGGGGGCTGAGTGGAGGGCCAGCTCCCCTCTCCTCCCTGCCCCATCCTCAGCAGGTGCTGGCTCATCCCTGAGCCCCTGCAGGGAAACAAAATCAGTTTGCAGCAAGCAGGTGACAGAGCTGATGCCCATTGCAATGGGACTGGAACATCCAAACTGTGGCCGGTCGGTCTGACAGGACCAGCTCCACTCCCATGGATGAACCAAGACGCCTCCAACTCCCTGCAAAAACTCACCCCAATGCACCGAGCAGGAGAGGCACCATCTCCCCCCAGAGAGGGGCTTTTATCGGGGACAAACGTGGCAGAAAAGGCCAGAAGATGCCATTGTGCTGGTCAGCGCAGCCCAGGCCCAGCTTGCTCTGGGTGGGTGGTTTTTGTTTTTCTTGCAAACACACATTCTCGTTTCTCAGGCAGATATAAATATTGTCGTTTCTAGTAGAAAAAAAAAAAAACAAAACAACTTCCCTCTAAATAATATAAGGAAGACTCAAATGATTGCACTTAATACATATGAAAAAGGTAGAAAGGAGGATATCCTAGTGCACAAACATTAACTCCTGCTCTTCTCAAAGCTTGCTTTTCCGAGTTACTCTTTGGCAGAGCTTGTAACCAAGTCTGGTTTCTTGGCACGAGTGTCTGGGGTGTGTGGAGGAGGAAGGGGGGCGGAAAGAAAAAAAAAAATCGAACCCGGCTGAAAGTCCTTCTCCTTTGCTCCCTGTTTTCTCCCGTGCAGCCAGACATTGTTCTCCGGGAACGTGGCTTGGCTGCGCTTCCCTCGCAGCACCAGCGCGGCTCTCCAGCGGGCCGGAGCCACCACGGTGCCGCGCTGGTGGCCTTTGCCACCGCTCCTTTGCGTTTCCTTTTCCATCCAGTCGGCTTTGTCAGTTCTTTTCCCCCAAAGCGGCGCCAAAAGCTGCGGCGTCGCCTCCTGCGCTCCTCGGGGGCTGCAGGGACAGGGACCCCCCTCACTGTCCCGGGCTGGTGCTGGCACCAGGGAACGGGGACAGACCTGGCCTGAAGGAAACCAAAGGGAGAAGCATACGGGACCACTACTGCAGTCTCCTAAAACCTTCTGCTTCGGAAGAGGGGAGCGGCTTCACCAGCGCTGGGTGGGAGCGGAGCGAGCCCCGGTCTGCAGGGAGCGGCGGGGAGATCGTGGGGAGACGTCTGCGGGGCGAGCAGAGGCGATCCTGCCGGAGCCAGGCGGAGGGAGGAAAAATCAGAGAGGAGAAGGAAGGGAGAAGAGGGTTTCCTTGGCTGCGGGGCTATTTGTAAGGCCGGAGGAAGCTGGAGACTTTGGAGCGCAGGAGCTTGATGAAGGAGCGGGGCAGCATCTCCTTGTGCTTCTCTGTGTACTTGAAGTAGTTCTGGGGGTGCGCCAGCACGTCGAAGAAAGCTTTGATGAGCTTCTTGTCCTGCAGGGAAGCCGAGCCAGAGGGAGGTTCAGCATCACCTCCATGCTCCTCTGAAGCCCCAAGGGCAAGGAGAGCAGGAGGTATCTCCAAAAGGAAGGATGCCCTGGGGGTTACAGACTTGGGGCTCACCTTGAGGATCTCCTGGTGGTTCTCAGAGGCGTAGAGCCTTCCATCCCGCACGATGTCCTCCACCAGCTGCTCGTAATCCTCTGCCAAAACACACAGAGCATGAGCTGCCACTTGTCCCCAAACCTCTGGCCTCCATCCTTCAGTCCACTGCCCCCAAACACACAGGAGGTGTGAACTGGGGGTGACCTGGGTCCCAAACTGTGGGGGGAGAAGCACCAGGGTGCTGGGATGGCATCTGCCCGTGCTCACCATCGTAGGTGACGTAGGGGATCTGGAAGCCCCGGGCACTGTTGGCTTCGCTGGTTTTGAAGTTGATCCAGAGCTTGCGGGAGCGGGCGGTGAAGGCGATGGGTCGCTCGTAGGTCTGGCAGGTCTCGTAGGTGGTGATGGAGGATGGGGAGGCTGCAGGGAACAGCAAGGGGACACAGGATGCTGCTTGCCCATCAGCAGAGTACCCCCAGCCTTACTGGGTCAGGGGTGGCATCAGGGATGGGAATTGTCCAGTCTGGGCAAGGCTGAGCTTCCCCTAGCCCTCATGTTACATACCAGGGATTGTTATACCTTCCTTGCTCTGGAAAGCACCACATGGGGCTTTTTAACCCCCAAAATGGAGGCTGAGGCTCAGGTGTGCAGCCCAGCCCATGCACATCCCCCTGAGATCCAGCAAGACCCCCAGATGGCAGGGTGATGCTCATCTCCCCACTCACCCTATTCCCAAAACTCCCCTCCTGCTGCCCGGGGATGCACCTTTGTCCCTCCACGCCAGACCCCAGCCTTTTCCTGCCCAGCTCCTCCCCTGAGCACCGTGGCCTGCTCGGTTACCTACAGTTTTTCCGCATGACCAAGACGTCGCCGCACTCATCCTCGGAGGGGAGGAAGATCTCGGGCACCACGATGAGGATCTTGCGCTTGGGCGGGGGGTTGATGTTCCAGGTGCACTCGACGTTGGCGGGGTAATTCCCCGGGTAGTTGGGGGACTCGATGTAGCCCGTGTACTCCCCCAGCTCCCCTCCACACTGCCGGTCTGCAAGGCAGGAGAGCAGTTCAGATGGGAACCAGGGCATGGGTGGGAGTCCTGGGAAGGGTTTGCTGGGCAAGAGGGGCAGTGTGGAATCTCACTAGTCCTAAACACATTCATACTCTTAACCCTAGCAACCCTCTCCACCCCCATCCTATTTCTTCTTCTATCCAGCAACCTCAAAAACACCCCCAGCACAATTACAAACACAGTCAAAACTTCCTTCCTAATCAGCCTGATCCCAATAGCAATCTATATCCACTCCGGAACAGAAAGCCTCACCTCCTTCTGGGAATGAAAGTTCATTATAAACTTCAAAATCCTCATCAGCCTGAAAACAGACTTCTACTCCCTTACCTTCTTCCCCATTGCACTATTTGTATCATGATCTATCCTACAATTTGCAACACGATATATAGCCTCAGACCCCTACACTACAAAATTTTTCACCTATCTACTACTCTTCCTAATCGCTATCCTCACCCTAATCATCGCCTACAACCTATTTGTCCTATTTATTGGCTGAGAAGGAGTCAGAATCATATCCGTCCTACTAATCAGCTGATGACACGGTCAGGCAGAACCCCCCATGCCTGCCTGAAATGACCCCAAACTCTGCAGGATTTTAAAATACTTTTGAAGGAGGACCCCACACCTGTCCCCCCCTTCTGCTGCACCCCAGCTCGCCTACTTTTGCACTGGGACACGGAGGTGGAGCCGTCGAAGTCGGTGGTGGTGTTGCCGGGGCAGGAGATGCAGTAATTCTGCCGGAAATCGGGCTGGTAGGTGCCCACGGCGCAGCGGATGCAGCGGTGCACGCTCGTGTTGTAGTAGTGGCCAGGGGAGCACTGCACTGGGGGGTCAGGGAGCACAGGGGCTGTGTCAGCGGCTGGCACGGCCCCGCTGGGTGTGCCCGCGCTCCGCTGGGGACCGGCCCTGCCCTACCTTTGGTGTCGCAGTCCTGGAAGGACAGGGCTCCCTCGTGGCGCGTGGTCAGGCCCCCGCCGCAGGGGAAGCACAGCGCCCGCCCCACCTCGGGCTGGTAGGAGCCACGGGGACACGGCTGGCACGGCTTGAAGCCATCAGCAGAGTGCTGCCCAGGGGGACACTGACCTGCAGGCAAGGCATCGCTCAGTCCTGGCACCCCACATGCTCTCCCGCCCCATACCCAGACCCTCCTCCCCCTCAGCTGTGGCACCACCAGTACACCCAGAGAAGTGCTGCCCTTCCCGCGGTGCCCTCTAAATAATAAACACCCAAATCAGCAACTCCTGTGAGCCCTGGGGATGCTCAAGGCTCTCCTGCCTGCTGGCTAATGGTTGAAATTGCAGCCCTGGACACCCCCTGAGCGTGCGTCCAGCCCCGGCTGTGCCCCCCTTACCGGTGCAGGCGGTGATGTTGGTGGCTCCGATGGGTCCGAAGGTGTCGCCGCGGGGACACAGGTCACAGGAGAGCTGCCCCTCCTTCTCCTGGTAGGTGCCGGGCGGGCAGGGCACGCACTGCTCCGTCTGCCCGTGGTAATAGGTTCCCTGCGAGCAGCTGACTGAGAGCCGGGGGGGACGTCGGTGATGCTGCGGGCGCTGCCACCGCCGGGTCCCCTCGTCACCCCGCCTCGCTCCTCCTTACCACACTTGCTGGCCAGGCGCTGCTGGCCCGGCCCGCAGCTCTCCTGCCGCTCCGGGGCCACGCTCAGCTTCCGGGCCACCTCGTACTCCATCCCCGAGAAGCGCAGCAGGAACCGCTCCTGGTTGATGGATTTCTTCAGCGCCTTGATGGCCGACTTCAGCTTCTTCTCCACTCGCTGTCGCAGGCAGTGCAGGTTGCAGCTGGCTGGGGGGCACAGAGGGGAATGGGGGTGCAGGAGGGATGCAGTAAGAAGGGAGGGGTGCAGAGGGAAGCCCAGAAGCATCAAAACCATCCCCCAAATGCTCAGCTGCAGGTGCTACCCAGCGTGTGCCAATCCAGTGCAAGATGAGGACTGGTTTATCTCTCCTTGCTGCATGGGGATGGCATCATGTCCCTGCTCCCACCCAGGATGTGTCAGGCCAGTGCTGTGCCCACCTGTGATCTCCTCAGGCTTGATCTCTGCCTCAAACTCCAGCGTGATCCGTGTCACCTCCTTGTTGGGGGAGTTGCGAGCCCGCCGCCCCTTCCCCTTCTTGGACGAGTCGCACTTGAGGTTGACGAAGGTGACCTGGCAGTCAGAGCACGGTGCCGAGCCACCTGCAGGGTGGGACAGGTCAGCACCCCCTCCCTGCTGGGCACGGGCACCTCCCCACCCTCACAGCTCACCTTGTGTCCCTGCCCTCCCAGCCTCCTCCTGCTTGCCCTTGCTCCGCGGGTGCAGGTGGCACTTGGCATCCTTGATCTTGAAGGAGGCTTTCTGCTTGACGGGGGCAGCCACAGTCTCTGAAAGAACAGGTGGGTGCTCAGCAAGCTGGCACGGCCCAGCCAGGCTGCTGGCAGCCGTGGGCACCCCAGGAGCCCCCTTACCGAGGCACTGCTGGCTGCTGTTGGTGGCTCTGTGCTGGCCCTGCCGCAGCACGGGGGTCCCACAGCTCACTGTGTAGCTGCTGTCAGACTCTGGGAGGGAGAAAGGGGAGTTGGCTCTGCCAGGGTGATGCAGGCAGGCTGTGCCATGGGGGGATGATGCCCAGCACTCTGCCATAGGGATCCTGCACCAGGGACCTGGCCCGTGGATCTACACCCAACAATGAGCCCTCCTAAACAACAGCATCCCTCCCTCCCTCCCTCCTGCACTCCAGCTGTGCAGCCACTCCTCTCCCCTCAGTTTAGGCCATGCAGGGAAATGGGGACCCCCTGCTCAATCTGGTGGTGGCACTAGTACCAGTACCTGGCAGGAATCTGGCCTTGGAGGTGCAGGAAAGGGCACAGCTGTCCTTCTTGCCCATCTTGTTGCAGGTGAGGGTGGCCCGTGGTGGCACCGAACCTGGCAGGCACTTCACCAGCTCCAAGGGACAAGCACCAGCTGGTGATGACAATCAGGGATGCCCATGGCTGGCACAGCTCAGAGACCCACGGGGGACCCCTGTGCCCTCCAGCTCATGGGGGATTCACAAGGGAGGAGATGGTGCCAGAGCGTGGCACAGGGACCCCAGCCTGGCATCCCAGAGCCCCCAGCTCCTCCCTGGCCCTGCTGGCTCCTGGCCTGACGTACCCACACAGTCCTTCTTGTTCCAGTGCAGCTTGCAGCCAGCAGGACAGGTACACTGGTAGCTGCCAGGAGTGTTGATGCAGCCGAATTTGCAGCCACCCCTGTTGATGCTGCACTCATCGATGTCTGTGGGGACAGAGGCAGGGACAGTGGCTGAGGGACAGTGGGGACTCCTCGGCTCTGACACTGAATCACTGCATTTCTCAGGGCTGGGATTCTGGATGGATAAATCCAAGCCCAGCAGGGGCACCTCTGCACCTCATGCATTTCCAGCAGTGCCAGCTCCCCCAGCTGTGCCAGCTCCATGGGGATAAGGGACAGCCCAGCTCCCGGTGTCCCCAAGGGCCAGGCAGGGATGGGTGCAGCCCATCCAGGCTGAGCCCAGCCCCAGCCCCTCGTGGCACAGCAGACAGAGCTGAAACTGAACCCAAAAGGCTCAGCCCTGGTCCCTCTCTTCAGCAGGGCTGCAATGATGCTTCAGGTCAGGGATGGAGCTGTCTCTGTCAGAGCCCTCCCTGCCCAGCTCGCCCTCACTCGGGGCATTGGTGGGAGCCATCAATCCCTTTGCCAGGGGCTCACGCTGACCGTGTAGCTCAGAAATATCTGGAGGGTCGCTGGCCCAGCCCCGGAGCCCCCGGGCTCTCACCCCGGGCCGCCGGCACCGCTGCCACAACACGCTCGGCAGCCCCTGCGGAGCGCGTTCCAGCCACCTCCCGCTGCCCGCCCCCGCCCTTGGGAGCTATCTGCCTTGTGAAATTTAAATCAAACCCTTTTGATGTTCCCCTTCCCACCCCGCCACAGCTCCCTGCCAAAAACGCCGGGGATTTCTCCCTCTCTCTCTCTCTCTCTCTCTCTCTGCCGCTGCAGACAAGTCGCAAATTGTTCCTGTCGCTCTGTTTGAAGTTGCAGACACCAGCGAGTCTGGCTGGGAGCCCCATCCCTGCCCGGGGTGTGGAACCCAGCGTGCCCACGGGCCCTGGGGTGGGCAGGATCCCCAGGGGTCCCACGGCAGCCGCACCCGGGGCTGTCCCACCCCTGGGACCCCAGCAGGGCCCAGCTGGCCTTACCTCCGCAGTGGGTGAGCCCATAGAGCGTGTAGCCCTTGTGGCAGAGGCACTGGAAGCTGCCGGGGGTGTTGATGCACAGGTGGTCGCAGGTGCGGTCGAAGGAGCACTCGTCGATGTCTGCAGGAAGGGCAAGGGAGGAGGTGAGAGCTGGCACGGCAGAGGGGCCATCCCGGCCTCAGCACTGTCCCCTTCCTGCTCCAACAAGCTGTGATGCTGGGGACCCTGCCCTGGTACCCTCCAAGGGTCCAGAACCAGCTTGCTCTGGGCATTCAGTGCAATTCTGGGCATTCGGGATGCTCTGGATATCCAACACCAGTGTGCTCCAGAGCCCTGGGCTCCCTCCCTGCCCCAGGCTCCTCCTCACCCACGGCACCAGCATCCCCCTGCCACAAGCTCCTGCAGCCCCTCTGCACCCCAAACGGGCCAAACAGGGCCAAAATCCTGTCCCTGGCACGGGAGGGCTGCAGGAGCCCCCGGCTGCTGCCCGTGCGGGGCAGGGAGGGATCGGGAGGATGCCAGGGAAGGATCGGAGGATGCCAGGGAGGGATCAGGAATGCTGTGCGGGCAGGTCCTGCCTCGGGACGGTGCCAGCAATGCCTGCTCGGCCCCGCGGGCACCTCGCTGGGGCAGGGAGGCCCTGGTTGGGAGGTGAACCCAGCCCGGTGGGCTGGAGCATCATTTCATTGGCTTCATTAAGTTAATTGCTGCGCTCACGTCAAACTCCCCGAGCACAGAGCCTGGACGGAGATGAAAGCAGTGGCAGCCCCGGAGCCTGCCAGCCCCTCCTTCCTTCCCGGCCCTGTGTTTTCAGGAGGGAACGCTCAGGCTCAGGCACACCTGCCGTGCTGACCTCGGCCATGGGCTGCGGGGGCAGCACTGACCTCCTGGGCTTGTGGGAGATGAGCACAAAGATGTTGGGACAGGGAAAAAAAGGTGGAAGAAGCCGCATGGAGCAGCTAGCTCCATCTGGAGTGAGCAGGAGGCATCTTCTCCCCATTCCTGCCCTCCCAGAACTGGGAGCCCTGGCAGCTGCCTGATTGCTGGCTTTAGCTCTGCAAGAGCCCACAAACCCCCAGCTCTGAGACTGAAGGGCTAGGCCCCAAACCAGAGCCTGAATCCCAGGCACTAATGCCCTGAAGGATGCATGCAGTCCACAGGAAGGGCACAGGAATGAGCAGCACTGCAGCAGCAGCCATGGGAGTGCAGGCAGGGGCAGGGCAGGGCCCTGGGCACTCAGTGCCCCTCACCTTGGCAGTTCCTCTCGTTTATGAGCAGCTTGTAGCCCTTCTTGCAGCTGCACTCGAAGCTGCCCACGGTGTTCCTGCAGATGTGGTCACAGCCGCCGTTGTTGAGCCGGCACTCGTCGATGTCTGGTGGGGACAAGGGACACCCAAGGGTCACTCCCTGGCTGGGATGCTCGGCCAGGAGAGCCCAGGGCTCCCCTCTGGATGCTGCCCCCACCATGAGGGACAATGGAGGGAGCCCTTTGGGCTCTGATGGTCAGCAGGAGAACGTGGCTGATGTGGTTTGTTTTCCTACTGATCACAAAATTTACTGTTAGCAAACAACGTGTGAGATGGAAGGAGACCAGGAGGAGGCAGCAGCCTGCCCTGTCCCTCCACCCCCAGGGCTGGGGCAGCAGCTCTGCCTCTCTGGGGCTGAGGGTTTCTTTTTATGACTGTGAGGGAGCAAGCTGTAAACCTGCCTGCAGCCCTAATAAAACCCCAGACACAGGGGACGTGGCTCTGGGTTATTGCTGCGAACTGCAGAGCTGGAGAGGGGTGGGTGCTCTGATAAAATACCAGGACAAGGGGTTCTGGAAGCAGTCAGCAGGTAGACAGGCAGCCAGCAGTGGGACAGGCTCTCCTTTCAGCTGGGGTCAAGTTCTGAGAGCTGCCGAAAGACACAATGCAGGCACTGGCCAGCCCTGAGGGGGGACATTTGGGGTGCAGGGAAAGCAGGGACCTGGTGCTCAGACCTGGCTGGGCAGTGTCCCAGGGGGGACCTGTGCATTCCCTGCACACCCAGCCCTTCCCCTGGGGCGGCTCAGGCGCTGGGGTGGGGTGAGATGGGACAGGACCCTCCAGCCCCACAAGGGCTGCCTCAAACTTGACCTGACCCCCTTTTCCTCCTCCCCACAGGCTTCCCAGGGGCGTGGGGGCAAGCATGGTGCCTGCAGCAAGGCATCCCAGTCCCCATGCAGGGGGTGATTCCTGTGCCCACCCCACGGATGCAAACACCAAGCCGGTGAGCACTGGGGGCCATGTCGAGCTGAGCTAAATCTGAGCCTTTTCTGGGGGCACTGAGGACACAACGGGGACCTGGGGCACCCAGGGGTGAGCAGTGAGCCCCCAGCCCCACTCACACCCACCTACCTTTGCAGGTCTTCCTGTCGGGCTGGAGCATGAAGCCCATGGGGCAGCTGCAGTGGACGCCGGTGGCCGCGTCGTGGCACTTGCTGTCACAGCCCCCGTTGTTCACAGCACACGTCTCTGCACGGCAAGGGGACACAAAGGCTGGGGTGAGGGACCCCTGCTCAAAAGGCTCAAAAGGCACCCAGATGTCCCCCATGGCACAGCCTGGGAGGGGCAGTGGGTACAAAGCTCCCTCAGAGCCCATGGAAAGCTCCCTTGGCTCTCACACAACACCAGCGAGGCCACAGGGGCGTGAAATGCTGAACACATGGGGCTGGCGTGCCCCACAGACAGGCAGGGCCTCCTGGGGGCCACCTTGGGCAGCTCCACAGAGGGGGAGCTCAGTTTCCCAAAGTGGGCAATTCAAAGGCACAGCGCTTGTGCCAAAGCAGCCAGACACGGGTCCTGCCAGGCCGCAGCTCCCAGGGTGTGGGTGCACAGCCCCAGTGCCACAGCGGGGCGGCAGGAGGGTCCTGTCCCCCTCACTGCCACCAAGCTACCGAGCCACAAAGCCACGGGTGACCCTGTGCTGTCAGCCCCTGACCGTCACCCACTGCTCAGCCACTGAGATGTGTCTCAGGCTAATTTGGGAGACGCATCATGTAATTAAAACACACACTCAGAGGCAGGCAGCATCAGTGGAAAAAAAAAATCCAGTTGAAAAAAAAAAAAAGAGCTAATTATTTCAGTATTATCAAAGTCAGCTGTTGCTGGTAGGACTAGAAGGGACACTAATTTAAATGAAGCATTTTCAGCTTGACAGCTTCCCTGTGAGATCAATCCTCAATTTCAACCCTAACCACCAGAACAATGGTTTGAAGTGCATTAAGTTGTTCACAAAGGATAATAAAATACTCCTTTCAGAAGGCTGGTTGCTTGGATAAATGAGGCATTTGGGCTTCAAGGAACCCAAGATGAAAATGCCTTGAAGAAATTCCTTGGAAAGAGCAAATCCCAGGTTCTCCTGCTCTTTGCAAGCACCACATGGGGTAGGAATGACTGAACCATCCAACCATTTGCCGCGGGGCCCGGGAGCTGGGATCGCTCTGTGCTCGTCTTGCCACTGCTATTTTTATGATGTCCCATAATAAGAGAACAAAAGGGACCATTTTATGAAATTAATCGCCAGCACAATTACAAAACCTAACGGCAGGGGAAGGATTTCTGCAGATATTGTTCCTCCAGCCAGGTCCTCGCGCTGCCCGGCCGTGCCAGGGGACAGGGACACGGGGCGGGGGACACCGTGCCCAAGGGAAGGGAAACTTTCTGAAAGGGAATCGTTTGTTCAACGCCAGCCTTTGTTCCAGCAGCTGATGCAGGGGCAGCCCGGGGAGGATCGATTTAACAGGGTCAGCGCTGAGATGAGGGGATTGGTTTGGCTCAGGTGCTGCTGCCAGCGGGACGGAGCTGGAGGAGCAGCTGCAGCCGGGAGGATGGAGCTCTCCAGAGAGAGAATGTGGTGCCCTGGGCACAGTCACTGCGCTCACAGCCTCCTGCAGCACTGTGAACCCCTCCTGGCCGCTTTGCACCTTTGGGAATTTCACCTGAGGTTAAAGCCAGTCCCACTCACCGTCCCAGGGTGGGCATTGGGTGTGAGCTCAGTTAGCACAGCCACAGCACCACTGCGAGAAAGGGGAAACCCTGTTCTGGGTTGGCAGAAAGCTTGGAGGGGGCTGCTGGGGTACCTGTGGGGCAGAGGAGGTTGGTGGCACAGGGCTGGGCTCTGGATTGCCCCGGGGAGCAGCAATTGTTCGGCGGAGCTGGCAGCCCAGGGTGACTCACCAGCCACCCAGGGCTTTGGTGAGGCCTCCATCGCTCAGGCAGGGACAGGACAAAGCTCCACACACACACACACATACAAGCACACACTCAGACTCTTTTCCACCCTCCTCCAGCCCAGCTCTGCTGTCACTGCCTCACTGCTGTGCCATGGCACCCCTCGCCCTGCTCAGCACCTCAATGCTGGTGACGCTCTGGCCTCACCTCCACCTTCTGAGAAGTCACAATCTCATCAGGGTGTGAGCCCAACAAGCCAGAGGGGATAATTGCATGGTAATAGGGGGATTACAGCTGGGCTGGCTGGAGCATGGTGATGACGCAGATCTGGGGCTCCCCCTTCTCCCACCCCTGTGTGAAAGGCTCTGCAGAGCCCCCCAAAAGCTGCAGTCTGTGCTCCCTGTGCTGGTGAGCTCCAGAGCTGAGCTCCAGAGCCCCTGGGTGTGCCAAGAGTTTGCCTGTGCCCAGCACATCCAAGAACAAGATTCCCCACCACAAACAAGCTGCTGCACCTTCTGCCTCAGTTTCCTTGGTGGCAGAGCAGAGGCATCACCTTACCTTTGTGAAGGGCTTGGAGACCCCACGGGGATGCAAAGAAATCCCTGGGGAGGTGCCCAGCCCTGCAAAGGGCCATTGCAGCCCTGCCATTGCTGCAGCTCTCTGGGCTGAGAGCCACAGTGCACGGCGAGGCCAAACCCTGGGACACCCTGGAGGTCCCAGAGGGGACCATCCTCGAGTGGGTGGGCTCTAGGAAGGGGTAACTGGGAGTGCACAGCACAGAGATGGGCACAAGCATCCCCCTCCCCACCTGGCAGCCCACAGTGAGCTCCTCCTGGGTGTGGGGTAACCCTGCCACAGCCACAGCACAGCAGATTGTCACCCTGGAACAGGCTGGATCCACCAAAGCAGCGTGAGAGCCCCGTCTCATGCAAGCACAGCAGGGGAGGGCTCCCTGCCCTGTCCCCCAGCCCTGGGCTGGCCTGGCACCGGGGTTTGGAAGCAGCAGCAGCGGGGCAGGGTTAGTGAGACATGCGGTCAGGCAGCAGCTCAGCCCCCAGCCCCGCCATGGTCTCCAGAGGAGAGACCATCCACGGTTAGACCCCTCGGTAGAGATAGAGAGAACAAAAATATTTACCATTAGAAAACGTCTCAAGGATAACGTGTTGCTGGAAGTGTCTCTCCCCTGTTTAACATTATAAAAAAGTGATTTAGAAACAGTGTCCAGCAGGGAACTCGGTTGGTGTCACACATCAATGGGTTCAACTCTGCTGCATTTCCAGCCTGGTGGAAACTGTCCCTGTTTCCCTTTGGGCTTTTTCTCTCCCATCTCCCAAGCATTCAGGGTCCCTCAGCCTCTCCAAACCCCTCCAGCTGTGCTGGGCTGGTTGGAGCCCCATGCGAGCGGGAGAAGCGCGTTGTGAGCAGCGTTAGTGCAGCCTGTTAGTGTGGGGAGCCGGGTCCTGGCTGCGAACAGAACCAGAACCAGAACCAGAACCAGCCCGAAGGGATCCCCGAGCGGAGCCACGCGGACACAGGGGCGTTGGGAAGGCAATCACATCCCCCTGTGCCACTTGCACCCCATGGATTCAGCAGCCAAGCCAGCAGTGAGCCCAAACCCTGGGGCTGTTTGGGCTGCTCAGCCTCCCCTGTGGGTCAGAGCACCCCAGAGCTCCCAGCACCGCCAGCCCCCCAAACTGGGGAGCACTGCAAACTGCCTCGGTGTGGGTCAGGAAATCAGCCATAAAACCTCAGCTGGGTTTAGTTTCCTTCCCCATCTAACTGTATTTCTTCCCTTTCCACCCCTTCCCACTCCACCACAAGCAGGGGGCCAGCAATAGCCCTGCTGCACCCCAAATACGGGTGGGAGGGAGCTGCAATGATGCCCTGGCTAATAAATCTTCCTGGAAAGCCAAAATCTGCATCAACTGCGACAGCTGTTTTTGCATCTCCCCGCAGGCACTGCACCCTTGGCTGCTGGAGGGCTGGTTTATGTGCTTTTTTTAATTCTTTTTTTAAAGGCTGCTTTTGGAGCATAAATATACATATATAAGGTCATTGGCTTCCCCTCCCAGCTCCCCCTCCCCCTCGTGCCTGCAGACATGTTGGGAGCCATTAGTGATGGCCCCTGTGCTTAGAGGCATGTTCCTCATTATCTGCATTTTTAAAAGCAGCAATAAAAAGCAGAAAAATGAAAAACACCGGCCGTGGCCTAATGAAACTGTCACTCAGAGGGGCTGATCGTGCTTCCTGCCTCGTGGTGTGATCTGAAGGGAACCTGGACCAGGGGCCTGTCCCGGCAGCCCATCAAACACACCGCGTTCAATTTCAAAGCCCGTGGCCCGGGGAACGACTTTGCGTTTCCCCTCGCTGGAAACTTTATTCCCCTTGAAATGATGAAATATTTTGGAGGAAATGGGGAAGGGGCGGTGAAGGGGGCAGCGTGGCTGGGGGAGGGCTGTTTGCTGTGCCCCAGCCATAAAACAAGAAAGGGTGGGTATAAATATCCGAGCAGGTACCTCGGCTGTAAACCTGCTGGCGGGGCATCCCTGCAGGGCAGCTGGAGGAGCACAAGCCCTTGGTGTTCCCATGGTGGGGATCAGGAATGCCCCAGGGAGTGCAGGAGCTGGGCAGGCCCTTTCCTGTGAGAGGGGATTGCAGGGCCCAAAGGCATGAGACAGGCATGGGGTGCTGGTGGGCTTTGGGCTGGTGCTGCTCCTAAAATCCACTAGTGCAGTGTTTGATCTCCCCTGGAAAGGTGGACAAGGGGAGAGCTCACAGGGATGTGCTGGCTCTGGTGGGAGATGCCTCCCCAGCATGGGGACAAAGAGGGACACTTTGGCCAAGGACAGAGGATGGGTGATTTTGGAAACCCCCAAATGCCACCCTCACACCTGTTGTACCCAGGGTCTGAGTGCAGAGACCGCCTCCCAGCAAACAGACTGCTCTGAGGCCTCCCCCAAACCACGAGATGCTTTGGAGAGCTGCTCTCCCACCCCCACAGCCAGCAGGTCCAGGGGCACCCTTGGTCCCAGACCTGCCCGAGTCAGACGCCGCACACAGAGCCCCTCATCCAGGGGGAACCCCCCAGCTGGCACCCCCAGGGTCCTGAGCTCCCCACCCAGGCACAGCAACAACCCCTGGGAGGCTCCTCAGCGTGGGGACAGGACGCAGAGGCTGTGGGGACAAACCGAGGACGGCGGGGACCAGGGGCTGTGAGCGCTGCCAGCAGCCAGGAGGGGTTGGGATCCACCCTGGGGGACAGCGGTGACATTAAAGCAGCAGCGAGCTGATGGGGAGAGGGCTTTGCTGGGGGCTCAGCCCCAAACACCCCTGGAGCTGGCAGGGAGAGCCAGGGGCTCAGGGGGGATCCTGTGCCCCGAGGACGGAGCTGTCTGAGGAAAGCACGAAGGGTTTTCTGTTCGGGCACAGCAGGGACACGGGGAGCCAAAACCTCTCTTGCTTCCAGTTCCTTTTTCTTTTTCATTTTGCAGTAAGAACTCAAATGTCTCAAGCAATTGTGGACTTAATCACTCCCCAAATATAACATTTTTTAAATCAAAGCAGCTGTTAAACGGCACAAGCATATGAAACCAGTAAAACTTCTATCTCTGCTTGATGTTTTACAATTTGAAAACACACACAGGAAAAGGACAATTCTGGGGGTGGTTGAGTTGTCAGGTTGTTGGGGTTTTGGTTTTGTATTTTTTTTTTTTTGCAAGACAATTGTTCCTGAGCCAAGGCCCCACAACACCAAGTTGGAACAGATTGCTGTGGGCAAACCTGCCCCCTCCACATCCCTGCTCAAAAGCTGCCAGTGACAGCGACAGCAACAATTCCCAGCACAAGGACACCCTCACTGCTCTCTCTTCAGCAGCACAGAAGCACAGCAACGTGCCCCCAGGTGTCCCCTCAAGCACCACCAAGATCATATTTGTTCCCTGTGGCTGTGCAGACACATCCCAGGTGCTGCAGCATCCCTCACACACAGCTGAGCATCCCCGGTCTCAGCAAAAGGAAAACGCCCAAGGCTTGGGAAAACCTTCACCAGGCCAAGGACAAATCCCCCAGGGAGGAAGAGGAGCCACCCCACAGCCCAACCCCTGTGTGGGTGATGCCCTGACCTACCGATGCACGTCACCCCGTCCGAGTGCAGCAGGAATTTGACGTGGCAGCCGCACTTGGGGCCCTGGTCGGTGTCGTCGCAGGTGTGCTGGCAGCCCCCGTTGCCATAGTTGCAGGTCACTGTGGGAGCAAAGCACCAGTGTCACCACGGCCCCAGATCCTCCTCCTTGTCACCACAGCCCCAGCTCCTCTTCCCTGTCCTTCCCTGTCTCCATGGCCCCAGCTCCTCTTCCCTGCCTACCATCCACATGTAGCACATAAAGCTGGCTTGGAAACACCTCATCCATACCCTCAGAGACTCCCCTCCCTCCTTCCCTTCCTTCCTCCCTCCTTCCCTCACAGATAATTCCTACAGCCCTTCACTTTCCCTGTGGGATTTTAGCACATCCAGGCTGTTTTGTGGTTTCTTATATCTTCCCTCTGCATACCTGCTAAATGCCACCAGTGCAGTCCAAGCAAAGGGGACTGGTGGTCTGGTGGACCCTGAATCCAGTGCTGCAGGGGAGGGATGGAACTTTCCTGAGCTTCAGAATGACACAGGAGCTTTTGGGAATCCCTGCAAGCCCTCCCCAGGGGGCAAGGTGTGCTGTTCATTTCATTTAGGATTAAGCCTTCATTTCATCAGCGATTTTACACATTTGCTGCACGCAGCAAATGAGAAACAAAATAAAAATAATTGCATAAACACACACATATCTATTTAATAACCCTGGCACTGCCAGTGGGATGCTGGCAGGAGATCAGACAGGCTGAGAGCACCACAAGCCCCAGGGAGAGGATTCCTGCGCTCCTCACATGCCAACTGCACTCTCCTTGTTCACCTCCCCTTTGGAAAGTGAAACACTGGGACAAGAACAGGGGATGCTGAGCCTCTGGGACCCCCCTGAACTGCCCTTTCAGCCTGGTCATGTAAGGACACAACATCCCAGAGAAAAGGGGGCTGCCAGAAGCTTTGTCTGTAAGGGCAGCAGAGGCAGAGCTGAGCGTGCTGAGCTTCAGGCTCAATGAACCAACAGCTACCAGGGGTCAGGGCTTTGCTGCAGGGGCAGGAGGTGTGTGTGCCATGGGCACAGGGTTGGGGGGTCCCTGGGAGGGTGAACCCCCAGCCCTGGGGTGCTCCTTACGTTTGCAGTCCCGCTGGTTCTTGGTGAGCTCGAAGCCGGGGCGGCACTCGCAGGCGATGCCCCCTTTGGGGGTCTCCCGGCAGATGTGGGCACAGCCATGGTTCTTGTTCATGCAGTTCATGCCTTCTAAAAGAGAAACGGAGGCAGAGAAATGCTCCAAAAGCTGCTGGCACTGGGCAGCAGTGGCAGAGGGACATCTGAGGTGGGATGGGATGGGGAGTTGATGGCAATGAGGGGAAACCTTGTCAATGAGGGGAAACCTTGTGGAGACAGGATAACCCTGGCCAGCTCCTGGCACAGAGCTGCTTGGGAAGGTGGACAAAACCACCTGGAAGTCTTCAGCCTTTGATTGCCTCCCACCTTGGGTGAGACCCTGCTCCCACATCTCTTGGTGGCTTTAAACCCCACTGAGCTCCAGACCCAGCACCTGCACCCCTGTCCCCAGCAGGGCCACCAGAGTGGCACCAGTAGGAAGGAGCAGCCAGCTCATCCTGGCACACACAAGGGATGGGGACACAGGAATGCCACTGCAGCTGCTCAGCTGTCCTGGGCAGGGTGGGATTCCTGGGGAGTGACCAACACAGCTGGGAAGGGGGAAGGAGGAAAGCAAAAACACTCAGCTGGCTTTGCCAAGCAGCAGAGATAAAAATCAGCAGAGACACAAAAATCTCTCATTTCCTCCTATTTTGGCTAAGAGGTTGCTCCAGATGGCAACAATTTAGAGTTGATACTGAGAGGAAGGGCTCGGTGCTGTGCAAGAACTGGCAGGGGAAGATGTGTCTCAAGGTGGTGTGAGGATTTCCAGGTCCTTCTATTTATCAGCAAATTCCTTTGGGCATGGGATTAATGTCCCCAGCTCAGCATTGCTGTACCTGGACAAGGGACCTGTGAGGGTTTTGCTGCAGGACATTTACCACCTCTCCCAACATTCCTACCACAGATTCCCTTTCAAACCTGCCACACCAAGAGCCTAGCAGCAGCACCTAAACCCAGGCAGGAGTGGCCAGAGGTGACAGAGGACAGACCTGCCTGATCAAGGAGGGACGGAGGGTGGCCCAGGGTGTGGAGGGGCTGAGCACTGACCTTCAGGGCGCTGGATGCAGGTGTGCTGGTTGTCACTGAGGAAGAAGCCCTCCCTGCAGAAGCACTCGTAGCTGCCCATCATGTTGACACAGGTCTGCTGGCAGCCGCCGTTGCCCTCCGAGCACTCGTCCAGGTCTGCAGAGGGAAGGGGGCAGGGGGTGAGCCCAGCTCCCTGGCACACCGAGGGCATGGGCACCGGGTGGCACAGCTCCCTGGCACAGCAAGGGCATGGGCACCGGGTGGCACAGATCTGCTGGGCAGCTCCTGCTTCCCCCCAGCTGGACAGGGCAGGGGATGAAGGCAAAGCACAGCAGGAGTGGCTGCAGGGATCTTACAGCTTCCCTGAGTGATGGCCTCATTTTACCAAAGGGAACACCCGACCACAGAGAAAGGGCTTTCCCTCGTCCCAGAAATCCCAAAGCACCCAGGATGCTCCTCCAGAATGCTGGCTGCAGCCAGCCCCTGCTCCCAGCCCCTCAGAGCCTGCTGCCAGCTGGGGATGCCTGCACTTCATTAGGAGGAGCTGGGAAACCTTAGCCCAGAGCAGGGATAATTACTTGTAAGGAGACTCACATCCCCTGCTCTGCCCTCACACCTGGTTTGGTTTAACAAGCCGAGGCTGCAAGCGCTGGGACGTGGTCCCGTGGCAGCAGCAATGCCCTCGCCCCAGGCTGCTCCTGCAAAACCTGCGTTTAATGAACAGTAACTGCCCATTGCTCTCTCCAGAGGCTTTCTGGGGACAGTGGCGCAAGCTGAGCTCACCAGTGCCCTGAGGCGGCAGAACAACAGGGATGCCAGGCTTGGCAAAGATAAATCTGCGCCATGGCCGCCCCTTGCCCCCTCTGCCCGGGGCTGGGTGATGGTGTCGGGCTGGGAGCGAGGGGCCCCGTGCCAATGAAAACCTCCTGTGAACCCGAGCGTGGCACAGCCAGGGCTGAGGGGAAAACTGAGCCCACCGGAACCACGGCTGAGCCACGGCACGCACCGGGGGCTGCCAGCAAAGCCCCCTCCCCAAACAGCACAGCACACCCAAACCCTTTGCTTCTGGGCTAAACAGATGGACAGATGGATGCCTGAGCACTGTGGGTGCCTCGCACTGTGCCCCAGCCCCGGGCAAGCCCTGAGGGTTCGCTCAGAATTGCCAAAGCAGAGCTGCAGCTCTAGCTGGAAGTGACCAGGCAGCAGAGCCCAGGAGCACCCCACAAAGTCGCTGTCCTGGAAAGGAAGGGTTGAAAACACCCCCTGACCCACAGGGCAGCGAGGGCTGACACCTGGGCTGCAGCCAGGCATGCAGGGACACCCTCTGCATGGCAGGGAGCTCATGGCTTCCCCCAGTGCTCATCCCAGCCAAGCTATGTCCTGCAGATGCCAATAACCCTCCTGAAATCCCCCTGCTTAGAACAAGGGCTTAATGTCTTGCAACTTCTCCTTCCAGCTCTGCTCAAAAATGAGGAGGCAGCCGTTCAAACCCGATGGCTGAAATGAGACTCCACTTCCCTAATACCTGTTTTATTAAAGGCAACAGAGATGGGCAGAAGCCAGCAGGGCCTGTGTCAGGACGGGGGCTTGAATTCCTGTCCTGGTTCAAAAGGTCGCCCAGGATGGGCAATGGAGGGGCCTGTGGACTCTGGTGGGCACATACCCTGACCCCTCTCCAGCTCAGCTCCTGCCCATGGCACAGGCAAAGCCCGGGCACAACACGCTGCTTTGCTGTGCTTCTCTTTCTTTTGACTAAAAGGGGATGCAGACAGGTTGGGCAAAGCTGGTCGGGGTCAGAGATGAGATGCTGGGATGAGCTAAGGAAGGGCTCAAGGTGGGAGCCAGCGTGCTGCCCCCAGATCCCCGCCTGGCCGGCTGCTCCCCAGCCACCTCCATCCCCTCCCACCCACCTCTGTAAACACATGACGTCCAGCTTTCCTTTCTTCTTCCCGGGCTCATCCTCCCCCGGGAGAGGAAGGCAGAGCCAGCCGCCCGCCCGCCCGCGCCTCCTCCCAGCTGTGTAAATCTCCCCCCTCCCCGAGGAGGCTGCAAAGATCCCGGTGATGGCGCTTAATGCAAAGCGTATGTGTCCATAATCCCTTCCCCCTCCTCCTCCTCCCTGTGATGAGCTCATTAATGACCCCTCTGCAGACACTAATTGGAAAACAGCACGAGCAGCAGGCAGCGGGGAGGCGGTGCCCGGAGCCC